TCTAAGAAAAAGTCTTCCTACATTTTGCCTCCGAGTCTTGACTTGGACATAAGTGAGAATTATCGGCACTCTTTCATCATTCATCCCAACAACATAGACGGCTCATCTAAATTAACAACATAGACGGCTCATCTAAATTAACAACATAGACGGCTCATCTAAATTAAAATTGCACCCAATAAAGCCTCAAGGCATTTTATGTCACATTTATCAAACAACTGCTCATTTGAGACTTTGTCTTTCCATGTGAAACTACATATATTTCTAAAACATCTCTTAGGATATGCTTTTAAAATGTATGTGTCCCATATATATATATATATATATATATATATATATATATATATATATATATATAGTAAGGTAATGAAGGGTTTGGTAATCCATGTGGATAATTCCAAAGAGGATGTAATCCAGAGAGCTCAATGTAACAACAAAGTAAATATTAATTAAATAATTAAGAAAGAGACAACCTTAAGGTTCCATGACAATAATTTATTTCCCCTGAGGAAATAAATTCTAGTCTGGTGAGTATGGGGGATGAGGTAGTATTTCAAAGCCACAATTAGATGCTCCAGTTACTGCAACCTGAGCAGGGTGAACTGGCGCGTTATCCTGGAACAAGAGCACATTTACCCTCAACTTTCCTCTGCATTGATTCCTTCAGGTGTCTTAATTGTGATGCACAGTGATGTCCATTAAAAGGTTTCCCCTTTCCAGGCGGTCTATCATGGTTACGCCATCAGAATAATAATAATAATAATAAAACAGAAGCCATCAGCTTGCCAACAAGACGCTACCTGCTTGAATTTCTTCGGGTTTGGAGCACCAGAGTGTTTCCACTGTTTGTTTTGAATCTTTGATTCAGGTTCGAAGTGTGAACCCAGGCTTCATTTTGAGTGACTAATCTGCGGTAGAAATTCTCAGGGTCAGCATGGAAGCGGGTCAGAAGTGTCCTGGAAATGTTAACCTTTCTCAGCTTCTGTTCTGGTGACAGCATTCTTGGGATCCATCTTGCAGAGAGCTCATGTAGATCTGTTAAAAAAAAAAAAATTATGGATCGAATTAATAATACCTATGGACTTATCGATCTAAGTCAGTAAGACATCTGTCATCCCAAATCATGAAGTGAATGGAATCAACTTGTCCATCAGCGGTTGAGGTTTTTGGACGACCCGACCGGTCACTTTCTGTGCTGTCTCTGTCCCACTTGGATTCCACGGCCCACCTCTTCACAGTTGCATAGGAAGGGCAATCCTCAGCAAGTGTCTCTACCATGTTCTCGTGGATTTCCTCTAGTGTCATACTTTTCTTTTGCAGACACTTTATGATTGCTCGGGCCTGTGTTTTGTCCATTTTATGGGCCTCAACTGTACAGGAATAAAAACAGAAATCTAAATTTTCTTTTCTAGTTTTATAAGAAGTGGTAGCGTGATGCCACAACAAAATGTTCAGCTATGGCTCTACTTTCTGAGTGAGGCTTAGAACTTTTTCAACAACCCTTATAAATATATTTGAAAGACAAATGAAAAAATTCCGTGGAACTTGTTTCGTTTTGCATAGACGCTTCATTGGATTAAAGTAATGTTTGTATCAGTACAAAAACACAAATATCTGGGGAGTGTTTTAACAGAGGATGGAAAGTGCGACACTAAAATTCGAAGGCGCATTTGGGATAAACAAAGATGCCTTTCAAAAGTTAAGCAGAGTATTAAGAAACAGAAAAAAAATTCTTTAGAAACAAAAAAAAGCGTACTGGACAGTCAAGCAATAGCAATTGCTGGACAATCTCCTCAACGATGAAGAGGAGACTTGAGGCAACAGAAATATAGTTCTACAGAAGGATACTGAGGATACCATGGACCGAACATGTGAGCAACGATGACGTTTTAACGAAAATGGAAACAAAAAGGGAATGTATACTTAACATCAGGAAGAGACAGTTGACGTAATGAGGAAAGAGGGTTTGGAAAATTTAATACTCACTGGATATATTGAAAACAATGCATAACCTACATAGTAGGATTCTTTAAATGGATGGTGGAAGAAGGTTTAGGAGTTTTTAATGACAAAAAGACGACATATATTAAGAACTACAAAGGACAGGAAATTGTGGAGAGCCATGATCACCTACGTCCTGATGGGACACGGCACATGTCTAGTGGCGGGAGGTGGGAGGATATATAAACCATGCGACGGTTATGGAGGGGAAACGCTGAAGACGAAGAAATGCTAAATTTAAATTTTTTTTAATTTTTGATTTTTAAAGCTTGTTTTCAAATTAATTTATAGATCCAGAAATATGTCATTCTTTCTCGAGATTTGTTTATAAAGGAACAAGAAATGTTATTCGTTTTATTTTTCTAAACTGTCGTCGGCAGTTGAAATCATCAGACATACAGAAATAGGTCATTCTTTTTATTTCGTTTTAGCGTTGTTTACAATTATTTTTTTTATATAAGAAATAATGTCTTTCTTTTTAATTTCTCTTTAACTGTCGTCTGCAGTTGAAAATATAAGAGACACAGAAATACGTCATCATTTTTATGTCTTCTGATTGTCGTCTCCAGAATTATTTATAGACGTACCGGAAATATGTCATTCTTTTTATTTTTCTTTACTATTGTCGGCAGTTTAAATTTTCAGAGATACAGAAAAAATGTATATTTTAAATCATTTCAGCCCAAGCGAGGCAATAATGCTACTATGACACAGGGGCGGGGGGGTGAAAGAGAATAAGAAGACTTTAGTGAGGAGTAGTGAGGAAAGAACAATAAAGAAACAGGGTTTAGGAAGACAGAAACAGGCAATTGACGTTACATTTAAATTTTTGAATATTGTCGTTGTCAGAGAAGCAAGAAATCGGAAGGCAGTTCCACAGGCGGGAAGTGCAAGAAAAGAAACTTTTAGAAAACAAGTGGCAGGTGAATCTAGCTAGTTCAACAATAAAACTGTGAGACCTAGCTGCCAATCTAGTAGCACGCTTAAATTCATGTAGTCGAAGTACTAGGGGGGGGGAATAGAATCTCATCAGAAGGGTTGCCATGAAAATATTTGTATAAAAAACAAAAGGAAGCCACGTCACGTTGGTGAGAAAGTGACTGATGATGTGATGCCAGGTCAAGATAGATTACATCACAGACCCTTCTTTGAATTTTGTCAAGAATTTCGAGATATATAGCGAGGGCACCAGATCATATCTGACAGCCATATTCAAGGCACGGACGAATGGTAGATTTATAAATGTGCAAGATGGATTCTCCCGAGAAGGATTTCTGACATGACACATGATTTTCTGGCTTTCTAGCAGTAGAAGTAGCAATTGATTCAATATAGTCGCTTGCTGTCATATATGGTTTGGGGAACCTTCTGTTTACCTCGGAGTTCTTGACAAGATCCAGAGACGGATATGTAATATAATTGGCCCTGATCTGGCATCTCGTCTACAGTCACTCTCTCACAGACGCGCCGTCGTCTCTCTCTGTCTTTTCTACAAATACTTTCATGGAAATTGCTCCGATGAGCTGCTTTCACTGGTTCCCAGACTCCATGAATTCAAGCGCCCTACAAGGCTGGCATCCCGCTCTCGCCCTTACACTGTAGAAACTTTTAAATGTATCCGTCTCTTGTACTCCAATAGCTTCATACCTCGCACCTCTCGCCTATGGAACTCCTTTCCCAATTACTGTTTCCCTGAGAGCTATAATCTCCAACTATTCAAATGTAATGTCAATCGACATCTCCAGTTACCTTGATCTATCCACTATCCCTCTCCTCATCCTTTCTTCTATCACTCCTATCTACTCTCGCGCCAAATATTCTGCAAACCCCTGCATCCTAGTGGCTTCACGCCTTGCTCGGGGCGTAATGCTTAAAAAAAAACAAAAAAACAAACAAACTTCAAAACATGGAAAACTTGAGCCCAAGAAAGAGTAGGATGTTACTTTTCTGGAGTTTAGCATCAGCCATGCTGATGGCAGGTAGAAAAGGTTCTCTGTGGTGATTCATTGAAAGTAGTTTTGTTTTGCAGGCGTTAAAAATTTACAAGCCATTTCTTGCCCCAGTTAACCACCGATTGGAGGTATCATTCTTTTTATTTCCTTTAACTGTCGTATCCAGATTTATTCATAAAAGAATCTGAAATATGTCATTCATTTTATTTCTTTTTATCGTCTGCAGTTGAAATTATGAGAGATGGAAATACGTCAGTCATTTTATATCTTTTTACTGCCGTCTACAGATTTAATGATAAAAGAACTAGAAAAATATATCATTCTTTGAAATTATTCAGTTGAAATTATCGGAGATAGCTTTTTTTCCCTGGTGTCCCGATTACATGAATTTAAGCACCCTACTAGATTGGCCTCTAGGTCCCACCCTTTTACTGTTGAAATAGTTAAATGTAACTGCCACTTCTACCCCAACAGTTTCTTTTCTCTCACTTCTCAGCAGTGGAACTACCTTCCGTTTACTTGCTTCCCTGATAACTACAATCTTCAAAAATTTAAATGCAACGTCAACCGCCATCTTCTGTTGACTTGAACCCGGTTCATCTTTTATCTTTTCCTCAATCCCCCTATACACAGTCTTTTCTCTCACTTTCACTCTCTGTAGTCCTTTGAGTACTAGTGGCATTCCTGCATTGCTTGGGATGACATAATTAAAAAAATATATAGAAATATGTCATTTTTTCCTTTCTTTTTAATGTCGTTTCCAGAATTATTTATAAAAGAACAAAAAAATGTCATTCGTTTTTGTTTTTTTGCAGTTGAAATTATCAGAGATGCAGAAGTATGTCATTTTTTCTTTCTTCTACTGTCGTCTGCAGATTTATTTCTAACAGAACCAGAAATATGTCATTCTTTTTATTTCTATTTAATGTCGTTTCCAGATCAATTTGTAAAAGAAACAGACGACATTCTTTTTACATCTCTTTACCCTCGTCTGCTGTTGAAATGCTAAAAGACACAGAAATATATCTTCCTTTTTATTTCTTTTAAATGTCGTTTCCAGATTTATTTATAAAACTACCGGAAATATGTCATTCTCTTTATTTCTCTTTACTGTCGTCGGCAGTTGCAAATATAAAGAAAACAGAAGTGTCTATCTCTTTACTCTTCATCCATCCAATTCGCGTTCTTTCGCGAACTGTACGCCTGCCCATCTGTTTCTTATATAAACATTTAGCTTGTTTGCAAGCGTTGCATTCCATGAGTCTAACTGCTATTCTAGATGATGCAAGAAGCGGGCAGCTAACAACAGACAATTCCCCACAGTTAGCCGCCTAGGAATTTTGTTGTTGTTGTTATCTCCGATATGGAAACAATGCCCTGGATATATTTACCAACCTCCCCACAAGGTAAGATGTGGCATAAAGCCGAGTTTTAAAGTGGAGGAATCCGAGCCCGTAGGCTCGGCCAAAAAATTCCCAAAATGTCGGATAGCTGTTTCCCGAGACGAGACTCTGCCTCTGGGGATCCTCTCTATTCGGAGGTAGAGAGTTTGACTAGCACAGCTGGAAAAGATTCCAGCTGGACTCCGGAATCCAATCCCCAGAAACCAGAGTTGGAAACAATGCCCTGGAAGCACAAAGATTTGTTCCTGTTCATTCAGCAACTCGTGACTACATTAAGGAAATGTATTCCGTAAAAAGAGTCCCAAGAATATTTCTACCAATGTCTCCATCGTTTAAGGAGAGCATAACTTTGTGTACTTTTTAAGATTGGCCAGGTAAGCATACTTTGCTTTCACAGGCTCATTCCGGGAATTAAATTGTCACAACTCCATTCGCATGTTATCTAGTTTGTCCAAATCTAGACAGCTCTAAATAATTATCACTTTTTTTGTAGATTGCAGTGTTTATCGCATTACAGGGAACGCTTCTCAAGCATCCAATTTCAGAAAGATACTGATCAGCACACATATTTATTTGCATATTGTTACATGATCCTCACCTTAATTTCTGATAGCAAACTATCAGGTTGAATCATAAATAATTTCTGTTTTTGTTTATCAACAATGCGCTTTGATCTTTTCGTTAACAGCGAGTGGAAACCAGACACCCAGTTTGTTAATTTTCCGTATCTTTTCTTTTTCAAATGACGTCATGCGGTAGATTGTGACGTGGATTGCTTTCCACAAATGATGAAGATTAGACCTGATAGAAAACGCTTGCATTCGACAGTCTTTAGCGAAAGGTGAGTGACTGAGGCGAGCTTGGTTCGTGTGAACGGGGCTAGCCTTGATTTTCTCTTTTAGGTCTACCTGTGTCACATCGGGGTGGCTTCCTGTGGAGCCCTTCCCTGGTTAGGCTAGACAATCTTTGTGTACCTAGTTAATGTGAGTAAGTGTTGTTCCCGGACACATCTTTGGTTATGATCCAAGTTGAGATTCCCAACCTCCCCATTGTGTTTCTGGCCCCCTTTCATCTCGACTGGGTCAGCTTTATTGATTCCCCATGTCCGTTTACATTTTCTCTTTTCCTTCTCCCTTAGCGAGAGATCTTCTTGATTCTGTCGTAGTGCACAATACAACGGTCTCTCCTTTTGAGGGTTGGACGGGTCCTACTAACATCAGTTATATTTATGTTTGCCTTGTTTGAGATATTGTTTGTTTATGGTTTCTTCCCTCTTCACTCTCATTTGCATTCATCTGTAAATTTTTATTTATAAATTTTATTATCATCAAATTTTAAGTCACGGGGCTCGTTTTTTGTAGGTCCTCCTGAGAGGATGCGGTATTATGGTGCGTGGAGGATTGATTGGTGACAGACGAGTTTTTGTGGTGAATGAGCGAATTGTAATGAATGAATGGGTCGTGAATCGGATTAGCTAGGTATAGGACAGTCAGTGAAGACCAGCCTAAACCCTTTCCCCTTTTTTTCAGCCTTGTGCCATAATTGTATTTTTTATACAATAAATATACTTGCTTTCCACAAATGATTTTTGACCTTCGTCAACCAAGTTCGATGAACGTCTCAGTCTGGGTTCACTTTCCAACGACGTTTCCTCAGAACAAAACTTTGCGAACTAATTTCCTACTTACTGATTAATTATGACTCCTTGACCATAACACTACATTTTTTTGACGTCTAGATTTAATGTATATAAAATACAATTGTGGCACAAGGTCGAATGTGGGGGGGATGAGGCTAGTCATCACTTACTATCTTATACCTAACTAATCAGATTCATGACCCATTCGTTTACAATTTGCACATCCACCAACTTATCTATCATCATTCAATACGCCATATACCACAATACCGCATACTCTGAGGGGACTTACAAAAAGACCCCATGACATAAAAATTAACAATTATAAAATTCTATATATAAAAATCTGTGGATGATACGTAATGAGGCGTGGGGGGGGGGGAATGAACCCCAAAACAAACTAAAATATCAAAACAAATGCACAAAATAAAAGGATTACTGATGTTAGTTGGACCCGTCAAAACCTCAAAAGAATTCAGAGAAGCCGCTGTATTTTGCATTTAGACAAAATCAAGAGGCTCTTTCATTAAGGGAGAGGGAAAGGATAAAATAAATACGGCTATGGGGAAAGAAGAAAGCTGGCCCAGTCGAGATGAAAAAAGGGATCAAAACTGGGGAGGTTGGGAATCTCGATTTGGATCATAAACAGAAGCCGGGAACGACACTTACTCACATTAACTAGCTGCCGAAAAAAGGGTCTATCATAACCAGGGGAGAGTTCCACAGGAAACCACCCCGATGTGACTTAGGTGGATCTAAAAAATAAAATCAAGGCTAGTCCCGCTCTCGCGAACCAGGCGAACTGCAGTCACCCACCTTTCGCTGAAACCTGTCGAAACCAATCGCTTTCTATCAGTTCTGATTTTCATCTTGAGCTGATGCTCAAAAAAATCGGATTAAATCCTGTTGAGAATAACGGTCACCTCGCAAGACTTCCTCCAATCGGGCCGTGGCCAGCAGCGACAGAAGCACCATCCGTATTTTTCTTCATAGCGCCATACCCTTGCTTAAATTCCCATAACATTATGTGACTTAAATGAGCTTTAAATTCCTCCATTAATTTATTTTTTAATCCACTGTATACGCTGCGGCTGCTGTACAAAAACTAAGGTATGTTAGTGTAATCCAAATTTATACTCGTAGGATTAGCAGTTAAGATGATACATTCATCATTGCAATTTGTTCCCTAAAAAGGAAAATTATAACTCAACTCCATAAAAATGTTGTCCATACCTATTATCTCAATTTTCATTCTCTTTCACGTTCACTCCTTGTAACTCCTTGTGTTCCAGTGGCATTACCGCTTTGCTTGGGGGGAAATAATTAAAATAATAATAATATTATAAATACCTTATTTCACTTACTGACGATAGCCATGCAAAAGCGTTTGATATAGCCCGACATAAAGAACTATTTGAACTGCTAGGTAAGCTTGATTTTTTGGGGACATATATTAGAATAATCCCGAACTTGTACTGGGAACAAACCGTTTGCATACAGATAGAAAATGAATTCAGTAAATACACAAAAACAGAAAGGGGCGTAAGACAAGGATGTGTCTCCTCACCGACTTTATTCAACGTTTACAGTGTGACCGTCTTGAGAGAATTGGAAATCCTACCGGCATTCATTATTGGTGGCCATAGTCTTAACAACATGACATATGCCCCAGAAGATGACACATTGCTGATAGCAGACACAAAAGAGAAATTACAGGAATCCCAACAGAATGTAGTAAAAAAATGTGAAGAAATGACTAAACACCAATTGCAAAAGACAAAATCTATGGCTGCCAACAAAAGAAAAATATAACACCTTTTACCTCCGCCTACACCAGGTGGTGTAACCACTTTTAGTGGTCCGATCCTCAGAGTCTTAGGACGATGTTTTAACCACAGCTGACGTTGGTACAAGCTGGTTGTTGCTTACTGCCTCTTCGATCCACACCAACTCTGCTCAGTTGGTTTTATATAGCTCTTGGTACAACAAAAATTAAGCCTTCCCGCATCAGTCTCTATAGTGACACTGGGTTTCGCCTAAGTTCTTTAGAATCGGGAAATCTGGTGGCAGCTGACGTGGATTCCAGAGGCACTCAATGCGGGTTCTCAGCCCAAATCTTCGAGCTCTCAAGGCCATCTCCTTATATGCACTTCGATCCAAAACTAGTGTGGGCCGAAGAGTTCTTGGGATTCGTTGATTCTTCAATTTCCACGTTAATTCTAATAAGGGTTCTTTGTTTCCTATTTCTGCTTTCTTAATCAACTTTCCAAATTTGAGGAATTATCCACCTTCTCGGGAATAGTTACGGGGAATGCTCCTCCCCTAACTCCAACCTTCTTCACTTCACCTCTCGCACCACTACTCCACGCAGGCAGCAATAAATTCTGCCTGTTCCTTCTCATCATTCTACTTCAGCCCCCCTCTCAGGCAGGCACAACTGTCTTTTTGACAAATCTAATTTTTAAATTAATAACATTATCATCAAACGAAGAAAGAAAATCACAATATTGATACATATGTCTAGCATTGTCCCGATGGCAGACGAAACCCTTTCCATTGGCCAGTTATTGGCCCTTTTCATCAATTGCTACTTTTATTAATCCATCTGGAACCAGTATTTGTCTGAATTCAACGACTGATTTTGCAGAAGGAACTCGTAATCAATGATGCCTCCAAATACACAGTCCCACTTTCTCCGGATACAGACTAGATTTTAGAGTGGTAAACGAAGGCTCAGGATCTTTTACGCTCTACATTATTGTAAACAATTCATTTTTCATCGCCTGTGATCGTTCTTTTCAAAAATGGCTCGTTTTTTGTTGCGTTAGAGCAGAGAATCACAGATGTAAACGCGGCCTATTAAATATTTTCGCGAGATCGTGAGACACACAAATATCTTAGTGATTCACGTGCACAGGTGTTTCCAAATGCCATACAACGCTCATATGAGATATATAGCGTATCTTAGCGATGTCCCGTGATATGTCATCTGGATTACCTTTAGTCAGCGTTTCGATTTCGTCATCAACGATCTCGGTCTTCCAGAGCAAAATTCCCACTCCTGAACCTAGCGAACTATTTACGAACATTACTCTCAGCTATGGCACCATCTATATAAACGGCACAGAACTTTTTCGTTCTTTGTACAACACTTT